TTTTCTTGAAGGGGGTGTTGTAGGGAAATAAGTTAATTAGAGATGTGTTTGGCATGCTCGTATGTAAGTGGTGATATCATCATCCTTATGGTCCGATTAATGAAGGCGAGATTTTAATTGGCGAACATGGGATCGAGATCCCGAGACATGGGTAGTAGCTAATTTTTGCCAAGCTTCACAAGTAGTTTTGGCACTAACTACTTGAGAGATAACTCCATCGAGAGAGAGGTGATGATCCAGCAAAATACTAGTCGATCTCCGACAAACCAATCTAGGTAAGTTAGGTTAAGAGCCTCATCAATTTGGGTAGGTGGTGGAGATTCGTAGCCATCAACATGGGTCATGACCCCGTAGCCTTGAAGAATGGTGGGATATCAAATAGAACTCGAAGAGCCAAATGTTGGGTAAAATCTTACGAATTTTGCAAAACTAAGCAAAGGGTACCAATATGGCTCAACTATTTAGATGAAATTGGTCGGTATAGAAGTTATAATAGCAGAACACATCCTTCACAAATCCGATCAACAAATAGCTATATCCGAATGTGAATATGCATATAGTAGTGTGTATGTCATAATATATGTGCTTGGTCTCGGATTACTATTTGCTAATCTTATCATCAACATGAGGAGCCCTCATCGGATATCTAAGACTTAGCATCATGTTGTACATCATTAACCTAATGGCATCTATCTACTTGAAAAGACGTCATCAAAACAAGCCTTAAGCTTCCTAACTCGCTCCATGTCAAAGGTTCTCCCTCTCCTCCTCCTGTAAGGATTCAAATCAACCACCAATATGCACTTCGCTCCGGTTCTAAATCTATTCTATTTAGATTTGCCATGTCTTTTAAAACTTAAAGAAAATAAGTAATGTGCTTACTCGAATTAAAAGTTCTTCGATCTTCGTAAAACTTGTAGAAGTAGTAGCAATGGTCCTACCCTCTCCAAACCACCAAAAAAGTGGTCGAAAGGTCTCAAAATACCCGAGATGTCACACAAAGCATGACGCTAACCCTCTTTAGTAATAATAAAAAAAAACAAGAAAAGGATAATTACATTATAAATACACCAATTTTCAATCTTTTCTCAATATATATATATATAATTAAATTTTTTTATTTGAGTATACTAATATTTTAAAAAAAATTATCAATCAAATACTTTCGTTAATTTTTTTGTTAATCGGTGACGTATCTCTTATCATCGAATACCAAATTACAATTTTTTTTTTTAATTTTTCTCAATAGAGTATATGAACTTCAATTTTTTTAAATTGAGTATACTAATTTTTTCAAAGCTCGTCCATAAAGCACTTTCGTCAATTTCCCAATTAATTGATGACGTGTTTAAATACTAAATTACATTTTTCCCTTTTGTTTTGTTGTAAGGAAATTTCACCTTAAATTATTCTATTGTTTTAAAATTTGACAAAAAAAATATATATATTTAGTTATAAAATCTCGAACTAAACTTAGTTAGGTTTGTTATTAAAATAATTAGTTAGCTTTTTAGTTAGAAGTTAAAGAAACATAAACATGAGATTTTTCATCGATAAGATTTATTTGTATTTTTCTTCAATTTTTATCATTAAACCTAACTAGGTTTTTTATAAAAAAAAAAAAAATAGCAACCTAATTGAGTTTAGTTTAGAATTTTATAGATAAAAATAATTTTTTTAATTACTTATCTAATTTTAAATAGGTAAAATAATTTGAGAAGAAAATTTTCTTCCACAAAAGAGGGTAAAATTATAATTTTGTATCCGAACATGCCATCAATTAACAAAAAAAAAAAAAATTGATAAAGGTATTTTATTGATAGTTTTGAAAAAATTGATATACTCAAACGAAAAAAATTAAATTTCATATTATCGATTAAGAAAAAGGATGAAATTATAATTTTTTTATTTGAGAGTAATGGACACATCATCTATTAATAGAAAAATTGATAAACATGCTTGATTGATAATTTTTTAAAAAAAATGAATGTACTTAAATGAAAAAATTAAAATTTATATATTCAATTAAGAAAAAATTAAAAATTATTATATTTATATTATAATTATCCCAATAAAAAAAAATGCTTGAAACCTCTTCTTTTCTCGCGTGAAAAAGCATCTTCGAGAAAGATAACAATGACAACGAAAGTGAGAATGCCAAAGATGAAAAAAAAAAAAAAAAAAAAGGTGAGAAAGACAGCTCGAGTTTATACAACCCACTTTTGATTTGCCACTTCAAAAGGCAATATCCTGCGTGACAAACCACAATTGACATGTCCAATTACATATAGACACGTGTCACCTCCAATGAACGATGTGACAGTATTAAAGTTTCAGGTTCTGTCCAACTTGATGAAGCCTTTTACTCTGTAAACAATTAAGAAGTTCAAAGTTTCAGGTTCTTGATTCTTACATCATTGCGCTACTGTCTTTTTAGATCACCATCGTCTTTTCTACCCTAAATTAATTATCGAAAAATCCTCCAATTCATCAGAAAGATTTGTTTTGCAGGGTACTAGCTTGATCGTCAATCTACCATCCAACTTCACAACAATGTCAACCAAGAAAAAATCACCTGATCATATATCATCCCTCTAGGTTCACGACCTCATCCCATATCACTATCACGACCGTCAATCTACCATCCAATAATTGTTTGTCTTCTTGTATTCAGATCATTACAGTAGCAGTTTGTGTTTAACTATCAGAAGAATGGCAAAAATAAAACAATAATTGAAGTTGGTTGTTGAAGAATAATATAAGTCCACCGAAGACATTTCAGCTTCCGTGAAATCTAATTAAAAATTTTATACAAGAAAATTCAAACCCACACTGGGAGAAAATTCTATGAATTTGAATAAAAGAAAAAAATAATTGTCAAATTTCATATTGTTACGGTGCAAACCTAAATTTTATAAAATAAATTCCTTTTCCTCCATGTTCATAGGAAAAGTCAACTTGGACATGACTGTACTTTTTTTTTTTTGACTTTTTTTTAAAAAAAATTTGACAATAAAATATATTTTCAGACTCATTTATACGTTGACTGAAATTAATTTTTTTTAAAACAGTATTAAAAATACATTATTCACATTGGTCTAGTGTAGTATAGAAATTTAATAAATTTTACTAGACACTAACTCTAAAATTTGAATCTTAAAAAAAAAAAAAAAAAAAGTGATATTCTTGATTAACAATCCAGTCCCTTGAAAGTAAATACGACCGCTAGCTATAAGAGAATATACTGCATGCCAAATATTTAAGCAAATAACTAGCTGGCTTATCCAGATATGGAGCGGACAACACTAAATATGTTTTTTTTTAGTTTGATAATATACATTATACTGATGATCAATTAAAATATATTAAATTAAAGATATAACATAAAATTTTATAAAAGTTTATAATTTTTAATCAAAATTTGTATTTCATTTATTCTTTTTTTTATGGGTTTTTATAAAGTTTATTGTTAAAAATACACCATAGATTCTTCATTAGGTATTCATTATAAATAAAAACTTGTAATAATGTAAATAGAAAATTTAATATAATTTTAAAAAAAACTTCTTAATATTTTTTTTTATAAGATTATATCTAAAAAACTAAAGCAAAAATCAATATAAAAAATTAACTAACAAATCTTTTTTTACTTTTTGAAAATATGTATATTCGATTTATATATTTATTTATTTACAAAATAATAAAAAATGATAGTATAAAAAGATGTATTTGAATTATTAGATGATTTTTTTAAAACATTATTTCAATTATTATATTTAAAAAATAGAATATTACAAAAATTAATAACAAATATTTAGTATTATATGTGTATATTCATAGTTAATTTTCAATAAAATTAATAATCTTAATATATATATTTTTTGTATACATCATGATCATACTCGTGGGTCGATTATGTAGTATAAATTAAAAAATAATTTTAAGAAACTTAAGTTTAAGGAATATATTGAAGTTAACAAAGTGTAATAAAAATAGCTAAAATTATTATTTTAATAAAATTTGATTATATCAAGAATAGACAAATAAAATGCGTCAATTCTATTATTCAAAATGATTTATTTATAAAAACTATTATTCAAGAACATATATATGTGTGTGTGTGTGTGTGTGTGTGTGTGTGTGTGTGTGTTAATTATAAAATATAAAAACTTGATGAGCTAAAAATATTTTTTAAAAACATAAGGGATCAAAAATATCTTATGAAAAATGAGGGACCAAAATAGAAAAAATTGAAAATATGAGGAGACAAACATATCTTTTTAAAACATGAGAAACAAATTTCTTTTAACAGAAATGTAGAGATCAAGATGAAATATAATGTAAAATTTGTATATGAATGTCCAAAAACAACAAAACAAAACACAAAAATACTATCGTCTAAAATTACTAAAAATATCATTATTTGATATTTATAAAATTTGAGTGTGTTCGAGAGAATGATATAAATTATATTTTAAGATCTTATTTAATAATTTAAACTTTTAAGTTGAGTTGGTTCTTTGACACTCGATTTTGATCAATTGTTGAAAGTATTGATAGAAAATCTATTTTTGATTTAGTTTTATGTTTGCAGGACTTCAAAGGATCAGGTTACACTAACCAAACTCCATGCTAGTTCAATTCATGAAGACAGAGAGTTTATCTTCCAAAATATTTATATCCCATGGGGAAAACTGGGGTGGACCATATGTTTCGCACTGATTTGTCGCGGGTGAACAAAATATTTATATCCCAAAAATATAGGGTTTGGCATGTTATCAAGAAGTACATGCCACAAGTTGGACTTAACCCTCTTGTGCCGATCTTTGTTCTTTGGACGTAAGCTTCAGTTTTAAAATAAAGATGAAAATTGAAAGCAAGAAAAGGATGCAGCCAGCACTTCTTTATTAAGGGTGGAAATGTTGAGGTAAGGTTCAGCATCAATGCAGTAACAAAAACACCTTATTTCTATTAGTCATAAACATGGCAATATATGGGCATCAATTATATTTTTCAGAAATTCCTAGCAGACGAGCCCAAAGCTTCATAGGTTTAGAGATCATGGTCATGTGATCGGATCCTTTTATCTCCATCACTTCATTGGGTGGGTTTTTCTGAATCATCCATTGTTGAAAATCCTTGTCCAAGGCCAAATCTTTTTCTGCAATGATAAAAACTCTTTTAACAGAGCCATACTTCTCCTTCGTTAGTACCAGGTCCCTTGACAGTTCTTGATCAGTAAACTGACGTGTTTCTCTAATCAATGTTGTCGCCAATGTCCAGTCCTGGAGCCATTTTGTCACCGTAAATTTGATCAAAGTTCAATATTAACAAAATTAAAATAAAAAACTGTTACATATTAATCTCAAAAAAATAAAAAAAAGGGGTAGATAACTCAATCTGTTCTTGTATAATAATACCTTGAGTTTTCCATTTATTCTTAAGTTTTTAATTACATTTTATCTGTCACAAAATTATTAAAAAAAAAATCAATTTGTCTTTTCAGTCCATCTTTCCGACTATAGATAATTTTTTTAACTAAAATACTTCTGATTAAAATAAAAATAAAAAATAAAATAAAATTTTAAAGTTTTGAAAAATAAAATATACAAGTCATCTCACTTTAATTTTTTTTTTTTTTAGTAAAGGATATTTTGATCAAAAAAATTTGTCTATAGTTGAAAAAATTGATCACAATAACCGGCTAAACATTTAAATAATTTTCAGCAACAAATGAGATAAATTAAAAATCTAAAAAAAGATATAAAAATCAGGGTATTATAAAAGTATAAATTAAGATGTTTACCCACATATTTAAAAATAAAAAATAAAAATTGTTTTGCCTATGAATCTGTTAAAATTCTTACCTCAATTGGACTGAGCTGGTACATCCTTAATAATAGGAACTTGGGCCCAAGGGTTAAAGATGTTGGTGGGTTATTTGGGCCATTACCGAAACCGTAGCGGCTGTCTAGCAAATCAAGTTGGCTTACCTTCAGCCATAACACATGCAAAAGAAAAGTGATTTAAGTAGATATAGGAAGAATGTAACTTGGTAAATTGATATGTATATATCTATGACCGAGAAAAGAAAGTTAATCAAATAAGAGTTTTTTTCTGCAAGTACCTTTTGATTAATAGTGGAAGCGCTAAGGGAAAGGCCAGGCATGAAGGCAGTAACGAAAACAGCCACGGAAATTTTGCTTGGAAATCTCTCCATGGTCTGAGAAAGTGCGAATCCCCCTAAGCTATGACCAACAAGGATAACTTTTTCATTTGGTGGTAGAGATGCAAGAAGATCTCTCAACGGCCTAATATAATCAGATATTGATCTAAGATCACCAATCTGCTGTGGGTCAATCCCAGAAGCAGCTAAATCTATAGCGCTAACCTTGTGACCTGATGATCTTAATAGCGGCACAAGTTTGTACCAACACCAGGCACCATGGCCTGACCCATGTACTAGCACAAAATGCTTGCTTGAATTATGGAGTGGCTGCGATAAGTCCTTGCTGCCTGCAATATTGAAAAGGATGATGAAAATGGAAATTATCATCAAATGTTTCTTTGCTTGCTCCATGCTTCTCTTCAATGCAATTAGTAGGTTTGTACAGGCTTATCCTTGCGGATATATATATAGGAGTCTAAAAGACAGACCCTGCCAAGAGGAAAAGTAAAAAATATATATATATATCGTGTATGATGTTGGGTATTATTTGAGGTGTCTAGTGGTTTAAAAACACTACTATCGTGTATGTGGGGCTTAAGGAACAATCATTGATTACGTAAGTTCTAAATAAATTAATGTGTGCATAATTAATACTGATTTTTTAATCAATAAAAATATAGTATTGTGTTTGAATATTTTAATTTTCCTACCAAATTTTTATAACCTTGAAAATTAAACTAAACTTTTGGCACCTCTAGACGCATCAAGGAAAACTCTCTTTGAATATTTTCGGCCTACCAAATAACTAATAAGTGGATCCAAGAATTAGCTAGCCTGGCCTTTTAATGGGGCTGCATAGGCCTAACCCACTCATAATCTCGGTTGCCGAAATTGTTGAAGGTATGACTTGGATTTGGTTCCTTGTCTTGTTCGCAAAATTAATAAATTTAGTTTGATAATTCAACTTAAAGGCCTTGTCAAATTCCAAGATCGATCATAGACGAAACTTACCAAATTTCATTATTTTTCATAGTCATCTTGCGTGTTTCACTTTGTTTCAATGGATTGATTTCTTAATTCATTGCATTACTTGAGTTTCTTTCAATGATTATAAATTAGTCTCCTTTTGTTTTAAAAGTTAATTAGTTAATTCATTAACTTGTACTGACTATACTTAAATTTAATATTAATTTATTACATAAAATGTCTTCTTTTTTCTTTTCAATCCGTTTATATTTTTTTTTACTTATTTTATTTTTCTATTTCTTAAAAAAAAAATCAAAACAAATTGAAAAAAGTTACAAGAATCAAGTTACAAGAATTTTTAAAATATACAAACTAAATAATTAGTGTTTAAAACAAATATAACTAATAATTCGATTCTTAAAACAAGAGGGATTAGTTTATAATTTACTCTCAAAATCAGACTAAACTCTATGAAAATTTTGAAATATTCTAAAAAACAAAAATTATGGTGTGGTTGAGGATGTAATGGTAATTTTTTTTTCCATGTTACAAAGAATAGTGTGCAATGGAGTTTATTGCTTATCATTAGATTTGTCATTTGTCGTTTACGGATTGTTTGTTTTTTATTTATTTATTGTCACAATCCCGAAAGTGGGCTATGATTGATATGAAAACCGAGAGAATCATGAGGCCCACTTCGACTCAAGCAAGCCTCGGATACTAATTTAAAAGCCTCAAATATCATTCCACCAAATATCATTTCAATTTATATTACCCCAAATTAATAATCATTATATCACTCTAAATCAAAATTTTAATACCATAATTGCATTTCTAAATCCATATTCATAATTAATTCCTAGTACAACACCCATAACTATAACTACAAAGTATCTAAGAATACATTTAGAATAAATATAGGTTTTAAGAAATGTACAAGGAAGTAAGTTGCACGATCAATATGCCGACTTCGAATCAAACAACCAAAAGGAAGCAATGAAAAATCCCTCAATATCCTGCAAGACTAAAATAATGAGGGGTGAGCAATCCACGACTCGGTGAATTGACATTATATAATATACTAAGGAAGGAAAACGGACTAAAGACTATATATAATTTCAAATTCATCTCAACATACTATGCCGGTTTATCAAAACACATGTATATCCAAAACGCATCTTATATTATAAATCAAATTGTTCAAAATCATTTCTTATCAAATCGTCAAAATATTTGTACATACATATATCGTACTCATACGAAAACACATATAGGTTTTTATACTCCCATGAAATAATAATGTATTATTAGGTGTAAACACTCAAAAGTCACACTCCACATAACTAGGTTTTCATATGTTGACCAACACACAAGCTAGCACTATACCTCTCCCGATAGCTGGAGACTCGTATCATGCAGCTCAAAGACTACCCCCGGTAGCTAAGTTCCTTAAGGTCTTAAAAACATTTTCAAAAACCAAACATACCTATACATTTTTCAAGTTGGCATTTCAAATACCATGCATGCAATTTCAAAAATTATACGGATACTCAAAATAACGATTATAACACATATATGTTCAAATCCGAAAACACATATCAAAATCATTAACACATTTGTCTAACACTTTGAAATCTCTTCTTCTATTCATATCAAATAATTTTAATACGAGAATATTTTAAATATTTAGGAACTTCGTTCCTATCTAAGTTCTAATGGAATGCTTTTAAATCATTCATAAATCAATGATGCATGATGGATAAAATTCAAGGATCTTAAAACACAATACCTTATATAATATCCACTCACAATACAAATGAAAAACCGAACAAAATCAAGGTGGTTATGGAGGAGTCGCTAGCTCGAGGAATCTAATAACATAATAATATTGGACAACCATCAATATCACGTAATAAAGAATAATCCAAACAATGAATTATTCTAGAATTAGAAATATAAGATCATCAAATAAAAATGGAATTGATTGAAAATATTCGATCCGATAATCTAACCGAATTATATAATCTCTCAATTGATTCTAAACAATCATCTAATCACATACCACTATCAATCTTTAACTCATTCCTTAAACAATTAATCTTCAATAAGTCAATCCTTAATTTGATTTAATGATCAATTCTATTTTAATTCATCTAATAATCATTCTATTTACTCGCTAATTATACTTTTATGACTTAATTCCTCATTTTTAAAAAAATTCAGATTTGTCACTATTCATCATCTTCAATCTCTAAGTTTCTCTAATTCACTTAATTCTACCTCAAATTAACTTTTTAATTCACTTACCTAAGATAATTAAATATCATTCAAGACATCATGATCGCTTAGAATCATTTTTCCTCAAACGGGTCTAAAAACCCTAACTTTAACCTAAGCAATTCCTCAAGCAATTTACAATCCAAAGCTACTTCAACTCAATATCATTATTAATTACACATAAACTTCACAATTCAAAGATCAATGGATCAAAAATCTTACCTTTACACTATATTCTTTAAATCTCAAATTCTTCTTAGTTTTTCAAACTTTTCAAGCTCCAAGCTAACTAGACTCAACTTAAATCCTCTTACTTATGATCTTTCTAAGCTAATTGAAGAATGGATTGGCTTACGAATTCAAGAGAAAGTTGGACGAAGATTTGGGAGAAAAATCATGTGAGAGAAGGAGAAAAAAAGAGGAAAAATATGAAAAAAGGGTAGTTAATGCTAAAATTAATAGCCTTAATTAACATTGGTTTTAGATTATTTATGATTAAATTTGATGAATAATAATTTAAAAAATATACATAGTTATATGACATAATAATTGATAATTTTTTTTTAATTTTGTTTAAAAAGTCAAGGAGAAATTTTATTTTAAGTACAAAGTGAGCATATATTGATCTTTTACTATTATATCTTGAATACATATATATTAGACAGCCAATATGATGGGTCAAAACGTCATCTCAATGAATGCCTGCTTATCCATGGAAATTCATGCTACCAAACGGGATACGTTCAAGATCATTCTCCAAAAGAAAGTAACAAGGAATTCAATAATTTTATTATTCGTGTCATTTCTATCATATTTCATCAAGAACCTGATTTGATTTTAAGAGAAATACCTTGGCCATCGTTTGAATTGATGAAAAAGAAAAAGAGATTGAACGAGAAAGAGAGAGAACATTCATGTTTTTTATTGACTTAAATTAAACATTTTTTAATATAAATTAATTTAACAATTTCTTTTAATTTGATTTTTTTAAATAAATAATCAATTTCATTTTTCTTCTTTTTATTGATCAAAATCAAATATATTTATAAGATATATTTAAACTCAAAAATAAAATATAAATATTTTATTAAATACTACATAATACATGTTAGATTAACCGAAATTTGATAATTAAAGAGAACGAAAGGTTCGATTGCCGACCCACCAATCCTTCTACGGGCCAACTGCTAGTGGGCCGACCGAGTATTTCAGGTTCGATTCGAGAGGAAGAAAGAGAAAAAGGGTTCATGGGATGAGATCTATTCGATCTCGGTAGTAGGGGTGAGCAAACGGTTCGGTTAACCGAAAACCGAATAAAACCGAACCGAATTATGAAATTTGGTTTGGTTTTAAAAGTAAAATTATACAATATAAAATCGAATCGAAAAAACCAAAATTATTTCGGTTCGGTTCGGTTTTTAGAAAAAAAATTTTGGTTTCGACCGAAAACCGAAATAAATAGTAAAAAATTTTCTAATTTCTAAATCCCTAACTTTTCAATCTTCATTTTTGCTGAAGCCGAAACACGCAAATGGGAAGTAAATTTTGAGAACCGTTAGGGTAAGAAAAGAAAGTGACGAGTGTAATTAATTGAGATACGGTGTGTTTGAATGATAAAATCAATTACATTTGGACTGGTTTTAATTAAAGCTTAGTTAAAATCTTCAAGGGCTTTGTGATTGTCTATAAAAAAGATTAATTGATAACAAGATGTTATTTCATTGACTAGTGGACTAAGTGCTAGTACAAAACATCTCTCCGTAATGATTTTTTTTACAACAAAATATTTTGGTTAAAATTGAAATATTTCGAAACCAAACCGAATTTACCGAATTTATTTCGGTTCGGTTTTGGTTTTTATTTTTCTTAATTCGGTTAATCGAAAATCAAACCGAATCATACAAAACCGAACCGTTTAACCGAATGCTCACCCCTACTCGGTAGAGGCTTGTTGGTTTCGAAGGGTGGAGGAGGTAAACGAAAGAAAGGAGCCTTCTGGTTTTCTGTCTGGTGAACGAGAGAAGAGAGACGAGCGAGAAGAAATGAGAAAGGTCAGTGTTTAATCGAAATGAAGAGAGAGGAAGGAATGAAACGTGTTTGTGGGTTTGGACTTGACTCAGAGAAAAAGAATTGTGGGTTGGGCTTAGCCCAACCCACATGGAATCAAGACAGAAAGAAGGGATGGCCTGACTACCAGGCCAGCCCAATAGAATCAATCCTTGTAACATTTTAAAACATAAGGGACCAATTTTTTTTAAAAAAAACATGAGATATCAAAATAAAACACAATTTAAAATCTGTATATAAATGTCTAAAAACGATCATAAAATCACAAAAATGCTATTTTCTAAAATGACCAAAATGACACAAAGTAAATAGTGGTTTATGAATGAATAGTAATTACTTCTATTCGTTTTTTGAGAAAAAAGACATACTAAATTGCAGCATACTAATTTTAGTTGCTCTTGTATGGATCCATTTCCACAGGAACGGAACTATGTGTATTGGTGGAGAGTCAAGCACCCTTATATATTGAAAATTTTTATATTTTAGTCCTAATCCTTTTTTTTTTAAAAATGTTATTATATCCTTTATTGTTATTTGTTGTGCATCCTCAAACATCAAGTATTTTATTTTGTTCTCCCCTCCAATCCTAAATTTCTAATTCAATCCCTGATTTTTCATGTGAACACAAAAATAATACATAAAAAAATATCTAATAATTTATCATAATAATATCAACTAAATTATAAATTAGCCCTTCTATTTTTGAGAAATAAATTAATTGGTCTTCTTTGTTTTAAAAACTAATTATTTTGTTTCTTTATTAATGTTGATCATGTTTAGTTTAATATTATTTTATTTCATAAAATATTATCTTTTCTCATCAGTCTTTTTATATTTTTTTCCTATCTCTTAAAACAAAAAATCAAAATAAAAATAAAAAGTGAAAAAACATTAAATTATAAGAAAATTAAAAAAATTTAAATAATTAAATAATTAATTTTTAAAATAAAAAAACTGATTAATTCGTTTCTCAAAACTAGAACAACTAATTTATAATTTACTCCAATAATATTTGGTCATCTTGATTTCACAATGGATCTGTGTGCTGTCCCAAATTAATATGACCAAATTGTTCTCATAGTGGGGGGGCTATTGGGTTTATCTGTGGGCTATACCTACCTAACCCACCCAGAACTATGGGCCCAAACGCTATCCACGTAGATAATAGCTGTAGGGAGCATGCTGACAAGCAATAAATCTTTTGCCGCGTCTAGACGGCATAACCGTCATTTTCCAACGGTCAAAAAACCTTATCTCTTACACCACGTCACCCGGAATCCAAGGCAACATGCTTCTCCGGTTTTAAACGTCACCCTCTGTCCACCTACGTTTCTTCCTTATTCAACCATTCAAGTCTCAAAAAAAAAAAAAAAATCTTTTTTTAACGAAATTAAGGTATTCTAGTATTTATAAGGAAAAAAAAAGTTGTAATTGGATTTATTCCATAATTAATTTTTATATAGTTTTTATTTTTTTTATTGAGATTCTCTATTAAATTTTAGTTTGATTGAAACTTTTATTCTTATAAATTTATTGATTGAAAACCTTCGTTATAACACTATTAACTATTCATTCTATATGCTAATTAGATATTGATATGTGAAAATATGAATAAAAAATTTACTATATGTCGTTGTTTGATTGATTATCATTAGTTTTAACTTGTGATATAGGATGAATAGTTAACAATGTTATAACGAATGATCTCGATCAATAAATTTGTAAAAATAAAAAGTTTTAATCAATCTGAAAAATAATAAAAAATCTTAATAAAAAAATTAAAACGGTATAGAAATCAATTATAATATAAATCTAATTATAATTTATAAATAGATTAATATTTCGACTATTACATTGATATATACATATATTGATTTTCATATTGCTAAAATGGTAATTAATGAAATGACATACAAACTATTATTTCAACAAATTTATTTATTTCAACAGCTTTACATAAGTAGTGTTTATGATTTCTGTTATTAAATATTATTAATTTTATAAGCAACATTTCTGTTTTTTCCTTTTTTCTTTTTCCTTTTTGATATGAACTTTAATAAATTACTATAAACGACAAAAAAAAATCATTATTTTAATAAATGCGATTAAAAATATACCATTTGGGGGGGGGGGGGGGGGGGCTGCTTCTTATAAAGCAAGATTTCTCTTTCTAAAGTCAATCGGACTTTTATGACACGTGCACGTTAGAACATAAATTCACTGCCCTTTTCCTAGATTCCTTTAGGTTTCTTCTTTAACTTTGATGCTCTTACCTAAAAATTATACAAACCATTGACGTAGTTTTATAGTACATAAAAAATAATCAACTCATATAAACAGTAATTATTTTATTATTTTATTTTTAAAAAAAGATAAATAAATAAATAAAAATGGAAGAGAAATTTTTTAAAAAAATTGAGCAAAAGTGAAAATGTTTTTTGAAAAATACTTGATAACACTATAGTGATAGACACTATTTCTAAAAATAGAAATTTGTTAATAGTAAATTTAAAAAATAAAAAAGTTAAATGACATAATACTTTCATTAAAAATTACGCATCTTTTTTCCATCTCTTAAATCCCTAAAAAAAAACACTATTCTTATAAAATTATAATAATTTTTTTTTGACAACATATGTGTCATATAGCACTAATTTTTTATCATTTTTTATAAATATCAATGTAATTCAATGAATCTACCTCTCTTTTTAAAATAAATTTATAAAATAATTAATAAACGTATCATTAATTATTATGTATTATAAAATTTCTCTAAAAACCATTTGCCAATCAAACAAAACTACCTCACGGACCCAACAATTGGATTTCTTGTCGGTGGCCCAGACAATAATTCTCAGTTTCTCACCGCGTCTTTGGCACTCCCCGTAATTTCCCATCAACTCCAAGCCCAAACAATTTTATCCCTCGCCACGTCACCAAAATCAAATCCCCCTATATATACCACACGATAACCAGCCCCTCTCGTTCATTCTACAAGGTTCCTTCAAATCCGTGAAACAGAAGACCGTTACAATGAAACGACAAACATTAGCCCACTCCCTCCTCCTCCTCCTCCTCTTCGCCATAACCGTTGTGGTGGTTGACGCGGCGCTGGCCGGCGGATGGAGTCCGATAAAGGACTTGAAGGATAAGCACGTGGTAGAGATTGCGGAGTACGCCGTTGCAGAGCATAACAAGCACGAGCAATCCAGTCTGAAGCTTGAGAGTATCGTTAAAGGCGAATCGCAGGTTGTAGCTGGCACGAATTATCGGCTTGTTTTGGCCGTGAAAGGAGGGGCTTATAAGAAGTATCAGGCTGTTGTTTATGAAAGACCTTGGGAGAATTTCAGGAATCTGACGTCGTTTAAGCCTTATAAAGGTTGAAATAAATGTAATACTCAGATGTAATGTATTATTTTCTGTTTTCTTTTTTAAAACTTGGAGATTATAATGATAATAAATTATAGTTTGAGAATTAGAAAATGTGTTATTTTGGGTTTTTTTTTTTAATATATTTTTCTTTGTTCTTTTTAGTCGTTTTGGATTATTAGAGAGAAATGGGCTGAATTGACCAATGTTGGATTGATTCAGAAAATTTCGGTTAATGAAATTATAAATTAGTCCCCTCTAGTTTCAAGTAGTAAATTAATTTTTTTTTCAAAAATTATTATTTAATTCTCTAACCAGTCTTTTCATATTTTCTCTTACACAGCAAAATAATTTAGACCACATGCATACTGTAACTTTTAGTCGATAATTAAAGCTTTTTGTTTTATTTATTTTTTTTTGAGTGCTAAAACAAAAATTTGCATGCATGACATGTGCAGTGACCATTTTAACGTGTCCAGATTATAGAAGTGTTTGACAAAAGTCTTAAAAATTGCTTTAGGACTTTTGAA